CTCATACAATGAGAAATATATTTGCAGGTTTAATTTAATGTAAATTAAGTTTAATGTTTTATGATTATTTTGCTTGATTGCAAGCATACCTTTTTTTAACTGTCATTTCATGTAAGAGTAACTATCTCTCTCTGAAAGAATAAAAACTAAAAAACTCTAAAGGTATCTAACATTTATTTTGTCAAACAAACGAGCAGAAATATCATTATCTTTACTTCAATGTTATTAATCATCATATTCAAATAAAAACAAAACTCAGAAAAGCCAGAATTACGGCAAACAATAACAATATTTCTTATAAAACCAGAATTTATTCTGTACCCAGAACGAGCAATTCGTTAAACTGTGAGCATTTTTGTAATACTAATATTTTCTGTCATCGCTCCTGAGTGAACAATCATATTTTTTGTGGAGAAAAGTACGTCTTCTATATCTTATATATAAAATAGAAAGAGATATATATTTTGTATCATTAAAATATGATTATAATTATGTGTTTCTTACAGAAACTATTCTCATGTACATCCTGTAAAATAAAAAAATGTCAGAATTAACTCGCAGAAAAATTCTTTCCTTTAAAAATAGTAGAATTCAATAAGAACAGAGAGATTCCTTCGTGGACGGCGGCGAATTATATAAAGAGCGTTATTTTTCATGGCAGTAGCAACATGTACATACGCACGAACATTTCGCCAGAATCAAGACTACTGGCGTTCTCGCATCTGAATTGCTTAATCTAAACTCGCACTAAAGCCTCGTGCACGAACGCAATTCCATTAGTAACAAATCTTTGCCGCGAGACTCGTTCTTCGGTATGGAAATCGTCGGCGTTTTATCGTGTTCTTCGCGACGCAAAGCGATGCAGGATCAAACCTCGGCTATGAATGTTACTTGAATCTCTTTCTAAGAGCAATTCTTTCTGCCATGAATTTTAATTTTATTTTATCCGCGTAATAAATTGATTTGTTAAAGAAAGTCATATATTGTTTATATTATATATTATATATATAATTATACTGATTAAAAGTATTGTATCACTTAGAAAAATAAAGAAGAGTTGTTTCTTAATGAAAAATATAAACAATATATATATAATTATATATTATACATTAAATTATATTTTACTGCTACTTTAATATCGTAAAAATAAAACACTAATATTTCCACAGTTTTAAAAGAGATTATAACAGGAGAAAGAAGTCATTTATAATTAACACAACTATATTGAAAAACATCGATAATATAATCTATTTCTCAAAAACCGAATAGTAGATAATGTATATTCTTTGTATTTTATGAATATGAGTAAAACAAGGGGAAGAATAAAAAATTTAATTATTTAGTTTCTATACGTATTGAGAGTAATATTTTTGATCGATATTGTGTATATACATAATATTTTTTTTAAAGATTTTATAATATATTTAAAAATTGTCAAAATCGAATGTGAGTAAAATAACATTTGTTACACAAAGTGATTGTTCACAAACGTATCTACGAAGGCGATATTCGCTGCAAACATATTTTCTTTTGCCTTTTGACCTCGCATCACATTTGTTTCATCACGCATTTTGCACTCGACGTTTATTTCGCCTCACGCCTTTTATCGTCGGATTTGCGTCGTCAAGGAAAAGTAATTTGTTCCTTATCGCGTAAAACATAGAGGCGGACTTGGTGGGCTCTTTTCGCGGAGAGAAACACAGCGATATGAATACAACGACCGAAGCAAATAGTTATTTCTACCTTCGAGTTAGCGAGTGGATATCACGAACTTTCAAGGTAATTTCAATCCTGAATGATGCTATTTCAAGATCTGTTGTTGTACGACAATCCTTCTCCCGCGATTTGTATTTCGGAAGCCTCATTAAGATGTGAATTCTGAGAAAGATTTATTAACATTTGAAAGTATACAATTTTTTATAAATATATTTATTTCTTTGATTATGACACATTCGCGTATTATATAAAAGTGGATTCTCTATGGTTTTTTTAATCAAAATTTAGAACCAAAAGTTTTGAAGATACCGAATTCAAATATGACGTTATGTAAAATTCTACATTCAGAAAACGAGATAGATTAAAATTTTTAAAAACTTAAGGAATTAATTATCAATAAATAAATGATGTTAATAAACTATAAATAAACTTACAAATGAAATTAAACTTTCAATATATTCACCATAACATAAGCTACAAGGCTACTGATTTTAATGTATTAACAACTAACACTAATATTACAGATAGTAATTAATTAATTACAGACTATTGCAATATTTATACGTTATCGCTTCAACCATTAAATATTATTAAAATATAACTAACGATCAAAAAAGACAGAATTCTCTCTCTCTTGCCCCTCCCCTCCCCTCTCTCTCTTCGTGAGGTTTACATATTACTTACAAATATCGTTTTGTTATCGCGCATTTTTTTTAATTTTTCCCGAGGATAGCCCAAGTTGCAATAGCGATGCGGATGAAAATTCTATTCCGGTGTTGAACAACACGAAATTGAGCAACACGAAATTTCGCGTGTCGGTTTACGAGGCACGCTATACGTGCGTTGAATACGACACTAAAATGCGACACACCGAATCGCTTCGTGAACATACACACTCTGCGAGGATTAACACATGTCGCGGCAATCCTCTCTTTTTTTCATTAAAAAGAAAAGCAGCTCACTGAATTGTGCCGATTATCCGAAAAACGTTGATTGGTTCGAGCGTAATTATCTAATTAAATGCAACGAACAATGATAGAACAACTGTTTGAAAATACATCCAGAGATGTCATGTTAAATATAAATTACTGCGTTTTTATATTAAACTAGGAGCTTCGGTAAAAGATTTATCTTAAAGTGATGCTGTAATATTTGTATCATGACTAATTTTTTCCATTAGAATTTTTAAAGAGGACAATATTTGTGACGCATTGTGTACAGTTAATTATAAAATCATAAGTTTGTTATTACATCTGAAATATTTCATAATTATACACATACGAAATTTCACAAGTTGTAAAATGTATACATACGTGTACCATAGTTGTGAATGTACGAGGTCCATTAAAACTTTAAATTATGATGTTGAAAAGGCAAATTTCTACCATTCTTGGCGGCATGTATATTTCACGAAATATCCACCTGTGTACTTTCGATGTCGAGAATTTATTTTCACTGAATAAAAATACCAAAATTTTACAAGTAATAATTTGTCTCCCTCTCTAGAATATCTATTGTTGATATGGTTGTACTTGTTACGATAAATAATAGTCATACTTAAAGTCATATTCGACATCGTCTCCTACGTCTATTAAGAATCATCAGCTCGTGAGAATATCTATGTCTAATTATTACGAATACAGAATATGGCTGGGTTTCAGAAATCCAATTCTAAAGATCTTATAAAGATTTTTCTATCTAACATAAAATATTCTAAAGATCATTCTAGTTCGACACGACAAAAATATTTCAAAATTATCTCGTGTTTTCACATTTAATTATTTTTTAATTTCTTTATTGTCACGCAATATATAATATTTTCTTATTATTTAATGTTTATATGCGTGTACATCATATGTATGCACATATGTGTACACACACACACACACACACACATCATATATACACAAGATTCGAAATATTATATATGAAATCCTATATATTATATAATATAAGAAAAGGATGAATTCTTGTGCAAAGAGTAAATCGAAAATGTGCAGAATAAATTTTATAGAATAAATGTGTAGAATAAATTTAAATCTATCTACTTGAGAATCTGCCACATTTATTGTAAAATTCTTACAATGATTGATTTCGGAAATAAATTATTTTAGATAGTTTTAGATGGATAATTTTAGTACGAATTGTTATGTAAAATTGTTGTGTAAAATATGATTATGCGATTATGTAATTATCTCATATACGTTTATATGAATAATAAAATAACAACGTGCACAATATGAACTATAAATTTGCACGTACAAAAAAAAATTGCCTAGGAAAATTGGAATAAATTTTAGTGGTAAAGAGTTAATAAATCGTCGAATTAGGAATTACGTTGATTGTAATAGGGCCGGTGCAACTATCTCTACGGCAGTAGTAACTCTGTTCTCTCGGCGCGATGAAAGAGGATTTGCTCATCTCTTTCCGTGTCTCGTGTATGCGATCAGGGCGGATTTGAAGCGTGACATTTCCCCGTGTATACTGCACACATGCGGATACATTGCGAGCCCAGGTGTGCAGAAAGCGGATTGTAGGCAATAAAAGCGCAGTAAAATCTGTTTTGTAGCTGCATTCATAGATGTATGACAAACGCAGCATTGTCTTTGAAAACAATCAAAATGTGGCATCTAATCGTGAAATATAAATCGTGAAGAAAACGCAATAAATATGACTAGTGAACAATATCTTACAACGATAATAATATTATAAATGCAATAAATAAATCTTAATTATCAAAACAAACATATTATTATAAATATATGAGAAAAAATACAGCTCTCTTGAATACCATTCGTGAAAATGCATCAGCATAAATAAAATAAGAAAAAGATAATTTCCTTAAAAGAAAAAAAAACACATATATATATATATATATATATATATATATATATATATATATATATATATAACTAGTGTCAGTCGCGTTACTTTGTTTTAAAAATTATTTATAGACATTTGCATCTTGATTGAAAGAATTTTTGCTAAATTTCCAATCAATTTAGATAGTCGCCCTGGCTTCGCGTTTTCTTAAACTTTACAAAACATGATCTTCTCACGCTTTCAACCCTAGCAAAAACCAGCCATCGAGTTACGTCAAAGACTTAAAACCGGAAATCACTAACACCAGCGTTGCTTCTCTCGGCCGAACGGGGTCTGCCTGTAGCTTTCGTTCGCTCTTCGTTTACCTTTTAATTCATTCCTCCTTACTAATTACTACCTTCAGCTAAGCCTTGAGATTGCACAAAAAGCCAACCTAATTCCTTCGCTAGTTTTCTACTCACCTAGGCATATTGAATCATTCCATCGGCGTGACAGATAGTTGGATCACTGGCTCTTCTTCGCCCCCGGAAAAATGAAGAACAAAGTCGCTGCAGCGATTAAATAGATTGATTAAAAATCGCCTCTTTATCCCTTCGAACACTTGCGCGTTCTTTACGGTAATCGCTCGTAAGTTTCGCGTCGTGGATACTTTGCACCGATGGTGGCGCCAATTTCCAAGGTCGGGCCCGCAAGGTCACAAGGTCCTCTTCCGGACCAGGTGCCGGCCGGTGGCGATCGGAAACGACGATCGGGTCGAATCGCGCGCGTGCCGTATCGAGCGCGAGTCTCGGCCGCGCGTGCTTGCCGACCTGCTTGCCCCTTCCTCTTCTGCTCCGTTGTCGTCTGCGCGTCTCTCGTCCCCCGCGAGGGGGATCCTTGTCACACACGCGCGCGATGCCTCACGACGATCCGCGCCACAGTCCACCACTCACTGACAAGAAGATCCCCGCCGTGACACTTGCTACTTCCTTCTTGATTTTTTCCCTCCTCTCCCTCTCCTCCTATTCTCCTTCTCTGCCGCCTCCTTTGTAGCTCCCGTTGTCGCCTCTCGACGTAGGGCTTGTTGCGGCTCTAGTCGTCGTCCGGAGCGCGTATCAGGAATGTACGTGATGCTGCGTCAAGTTGCTCCGATTTCATCAGAGACGAGAGTTATGATCTCCGGTTTCTTATAATATCTCTCTGCGATGTTTAAGCGGTCTGTTTGATAACTGTTCGGACAGTAGTTGATGCCTGTTCTAGATCCGCCAATTCTGTCACGAGGAACGGAGGAAACTGTTATTCGAGAGAACTTGACAGCTGAAGAGAAACGTCGCGCGTGACGGTGACATGCGATTATGCGACATGTATATCACGATGACAGTTGTAACTGCACAAACTCGTGTTCACTACTGAATCCATCTTTGTGTAATTTTTCGAATGCTAGTCATTCGAGTATATTCTTTCCCCTTTCATCGATATTTTATTAATAATGATGATATTTCAAAGTAAAATGCTTTTCCGAAGAAATATTTTTTATCACAAGTAACAGTTGTGTCTATTTTGTCTCGTTGCGCGCTGAAAATGATTCTGTTTTTCTCTTTCCGCACTACTGAATTAACGTATTTACCTTTCCCGTTTATTCCTCACGGACACTTTTCTTTCGGCTCGATCACGGAGCTTTATTGCAATCCACTCTTCGGTATCGTTAACTATGATGCTTTCTTTCAAGATGTAGCCAAATATCTGCTCTCTTCGTGTCCTTTTTATTGACTTTCGATATTATTTCAGTCGCTCTTACAGAGTACTCATGCAATGAGTCTCGTTCGAGAGGAGTACCGAGTGAATACCACTGCGAACGATTGCATCGACACAACGGAATAGCAGAATCAGTGGCGGCTGATTCAAATTCACTCCCCACGTGGCGGCGACGGCGTCGTCCCCGAGACTGCCGCCGGTACGACGCTCGGCGCCGGTCAGAGCGTCGCCATCTCACGGCTCGCTAGCTAACTATTTTTACCGCCGCGGTTCTCTTCAAAAATATCATCGCTAAGATTCTCTCTCTTTCTCTCTCTTTCTATCCATACACAGAAAAAAAGGACATTCTTGTTTTGAAAATATATTTAGTTTTAACATGGAAATCTTGAAATGAGATTATATTGCGTTAATTAAGAAAAATATAATTGATTGAATAATTGCTTACTTGAATGAAGCCATTCTATATAGTTCAATCAAGAAAAATATATTCTTATGATTTAAGATTTAATTTTCTTGAATGGAAAAGAAACAATTTTGGATAGAAAATAACATTTTTAAATCAAGCAATATAATTTTCTTAAAAGGTTATAATTTTCTTAAAGTAGAATTAAATAATTATATATTCTTGAGATGACAATTACAATATTAAAATAAGACTATAATATTATTGGAATTTATAATTATTAAATTCTTTTAAGAAGATTATAAATTGTTGCGTATATGAAACAATGAACGCATTAGTTTAAGTATATAAGTTTTGATTTGACACTTATTTTTTTCTGTGTAATTAGTATTTGAAGTGCACCAATAAAATAAAAGTATTGTATCATCACTTATAGAAACAGGTAACTCATTTTAATTAACAAAAACAAATATAATATGTTACCAAATTATAGTTTGTTACTCTTATTTTAATATTGTAATAATTAAATTAAAAATTCTAATAAATAATAACAAATAAGAAATATTAAATTCTTAATTCTTCAAAATAACCTTCCTTTACTTTCTATACTGTCGCATTCTATACTATCGCTTTTAGCATTCTTAACAACGATTTTTTTTATGACGATTGTAAATGTATTCACAATAATTTCTATTGTGAAAAAATTTAAAGTTAAGTAAAGTCGAGTAGTGTATATATATGTGTCTGTATGCACATACCTTAGTAATACAGCCAAAAACGCATTTTTTTATGCTCGCAGCTCATTGATTGTAGAAGTCACTTCTTTTTAATCAAAAGGCATATTGAGTCTTAAGCATGACAAAAATATAATCATGTTCATTAGGTAGCTGTAAACCTTCATCTTATTTTTTCGACGGCGTTTTCTGGCCTCCATGTAATGCTCCCTGATATATTAGAAGACATCAGCATTTTCAGACTTAATAAATGCTTTCGTTTTTTTCTCAAAAGAGACTTTCCACAACATCTACAACGCAATGGACGCAATGGATGCATTGGAATATATCTGAGCACGAGACCTGGCTACTAGTATTCGATTGCATCGTCTCTGTGAGACTAAGTGCATGAAAAGAACGCTTTCAAAGAAATACGTTGTTGTGAATTCACAACTTAGAATATTCACCGAGGCAACGAAGTTGCTTCTGCACCCGTGAGGGAAATATATGTATGTTATGTTTACGTCGGTCATTGCTCGAAGAATTATCGAGTCTTTAAATCTAAGATAATACTAAAAGAAGATATCACAAATCTTTAAAAACAGGAGAAAGAATAATTTTCCTACCAAAGGATTTTAAGGCTAACACAGTCTCTCCTGCACACCCTACAGAAAAACTCTCTTTACAACTTTTGATCAAGATTTCATAACAAATAAATTAAGGATGTTTTGTACCTATTTGAAAAATATTGAGAATTTAATGAAAATTGTATGTCCTTACATATGTTTAGAATCTTCAGTACAATTTTTAAATCGATTCACTAAAGCGATAACAAGTTATAAGGATTTTAATTTGTACCGAATTAACATGTGTTCTTCTGCAAAACGTATAACCACGTCGATTCAAATAACAAAAACATGGAAATAATATTCAGAATTTGTTTAAAATTTGCAAAAGTTTAGATACAGAGGAAATATTTGGTCAAATAATATTATATAAGTACTAAACCTAACTGGTTAAAAAGATATTAAATATAATTTAATGAAGTTAACCATGTATCTGTCACAAGGTGAAATTCTCTGCCAAAAGTTAATCATTTCGATTAACAAAATTCGGAATATTTCAGTAAAAACGCAATAAATATTAAAAAATACATCTCTGTACTGTAGCTAAAATCAAATTGTAATATTCCATACAATTTCTTACTCAAAATATACCAAAATATATTCGTCAATATTGATTTTCAGCTACTTTTTGCTGGGATTGTACATACAAAACATCCTTAAGCCACATTTGCACTGTAAAAAAAGGAGTTCAAAAACCAAAAATGAACCCTCCTTTTAGTTATAAATCAGAATAAAGGTTAGATTATATCTTTCGAAAATAGGATCCCACCGTTGAGGGGGAATTCATTGTATTCATGCTTGTATTTTGCAAAACCAAGCGAAGTTTACTCTCAACAAAGATTAAGATTAGATGTATATAGAATAAATTGTGTTTATTAATGATATCTATTGTTTATTAATGATATTTATTAGTCATAAAATTTTTAAATATTTTTTCAATATTCTCTCTCTCCACTAAAAATACTATCGAAATTTATTTTTACATTATGCCAAAGTTATGGGAATCGTGCCAACAAACATATATATATATATATATATATATATATATATATATATATATATATCAGAGAGAAGACTGCAAGATGTCATGCCTGCTTTTAGATGATCCCTGAAAGCGATACTTCCTCTATGGACATTGAAAACAAGGACATGAACTACACAGCCAATGTCTATGAATATTCTCAGAGGGTAATATATAATGTGCACAATTTCTGGTTTTGTTCTGTACTATGTGCGAAATGCCGGTAGCACCACTGCTGTAACAAGATACTTATGTATGTAAATTGATAGTAAATAAATTATTCAAATAATAAATAAATTATTCGCGAAAGATACTGTAATATTCAAAGATGAAATAAATATTTTTCTATATTCATTGTCATATTTATATCTTTTTATTTACAAAACACAAAATGCCTGCTGTGGGATAAAAACATTTTTAACCGTATTTCTATAAATCTTCATAATTAGCAGTAAACTGATCTTTGATATTTATCAATCATTTTCTTAATTATTTAAAAATTTAAGTATTAATATATGTATAGAATTTGTCAAATTAACTCTGATTGTCAAATAATCACTGATTCTTCTGCAGTTTTTATAATTAAGACTCGAAAAATATAGATGTTGCAAAATATTTTAAGTCTCTTCCTTTATAAAACATAAAGTATTCATATGTTCCATTCTAATATAGCTACTATTATTTAAATAATTTTATTATAATTTTCATACCAGCATACTTTTATGATACTTTCATGCCTAATACTTTATATAATACAATATACTAAATTATAAAATTTAATATAATTACAAAATAGTATTACTATTAATAAATAGGTTATATGCATACTGTCTTTCAGTTTCCAATCACTATGCATTTCTATCCAATATATTCTCTTTTTCGAGTTCTTGCATTATTATGGTTTATTGTATTCCTTTGTATTAACATCAAAAATTATCATCACTTGTCATACTTGTCTCTTCCTAAAAAAATTTTAATGATCATCTAATAGCTCCTAACAATCCTTTTTTTTTACATTATTTTATTTTTGATGATCACCTAATAGCCCTAACAATCCTTTTTTTTTTTACATTATTTTACTTTTCTATTTATTTTTAGTTTACATTATTTATTTAATTTATTTTACTTTTTGTTTTTTTAATTTTAAATAATTTTTTCTTTGACAAATTTGACTGATTTTATTACAGGCATCGTCAAAATAATGAGATACCGAGGCATTTATTATTACTTTAGACGGCACACTTTGTAATTGACTCCAATATAAAACCTTTTATTATTGTTTTTTCACATTATCACATTTGCGCTGAAGATGGTCCAAAAATAGGGTCGAAACGTTCGCTAACTTTTCTTTATAATTTGTTCCATACTTATTTGATTGTATAATAAATAATTGTGTTATAAGATCGACACTTATTGCGACTCATATTGCCATTAAAACTGATTTGTTTAATTTTATATTTCGTGTCTTATATTTTTTTAATTAATTACAATTATCGAAATATTTATTAATCTGTTTTCCCTAATATTATTTAAACCTACATTTCCTGATTTTTTAAAAGATACATAATATATTAATCACCTAAATTCATCACATACAGCCCTAACAATCCTTTACTTCTTAAAAGGAATATTAAAAAATCTTAACAATCACCTGATAGCCCTAACAATCCTATTTCTCGATTAAATTATTCGAGTCTATCTCTAATCACGTACATTTTAAATTATGTGCCCTAATTACATTATCTACCGTATGCCCTAACCGCGTGAATAAATGTCCGACATTACGTGTTATTGTACGAAATCTTTTCTTCAGGCCACTTGAATTTACCTTTCGTTGATCCTGGCCACTTTCTCGCTCGATCTCTAATCAGAGATCGAAAAAAGAGATAAACACTCCTTCTTTTGCCGATTAATTACCGGCAAATGAACGTAAATATTTCACGCTCATCGTAACGAGATCGCTCGATTTTACGATCGTTCGTTAAATATTTGAATATAATTTTATTTTAACTCAAATAAAGCCAAATTACTACAAATTTCTGTATATTATATTTTCTAATAAAATATAAAATTCATGTGTGTGTATAACTTTTATCATATTACAAATTATTTAGTTAATTAATCATTTGACTTTATATTAAGTTAAAATAAAGTTTAAAAACAATATCTACAAACAAATTCTATGATGAATGAGCTATAAGAAATTAGAATAAAATAAGTGCGCGTTATAAAAATAAAGTAGCATCAAAAATTGATAAAATTGATAAAATTATTAATGCTCTTTATATCATAAATTGGACAAAATCTTTAAAAAAATAATTTCTTTTCTTGATTCGTTTTTTTTATTTAATATTTCAATACATTTTCGCAATAGATGCAAAGCATTTCGAAAGAATTTATTAATAGTTATTTAATTTAATCTGTCCTAGCTCAT